ATTACTCTTCAGCGCTTGGACTACAATCTTATGATCATAATGTGGCAAACTAAATTGTTACTATCAATTGACCAGAGTCCTCCTTTGAGGACGACTTTCCTAGTTACTTCCCGAGAATCTTGTTGCACAACCTTGAGTAAAATACCGCAATCAATCGCCAGCCATCCACTAAATGCTGGTGTTCAGACTTTGGAAAGAGAATCAGTTTGCTACTAAGAGCTTTTATAGTATCTAGCCACAATACAGCATGGCGTTGAACAGCGCGATACCATATCTGGTTTGAAGTTTTCAGAAAGTTACTGGAAAAAACTCTTCATCTAGTTAACTAATGAAGAAGACGGTCAACTTTATTACAGCCAGTAACTGATAAATAACTCTTACTGTATATACTAGTAGTACTTTGCATTTCACTTTAAAATAAGTATATTAAAATAGATAATTTAAATATTCCAACCGGAATAATGTAACGTCTCAAACATCCTAAAATTGTATTCAAAGTTGAATTTTGTCATCAAACAACACCATTTAACTTATCTTAACGGGCAATTTTAAGTTGTAATTGCCCTCGATTGGAGTGCAATTAGCGCCGCCGGTGAATTATAGATGTGTGTGTGTTAAAGTAGTGGTATAATTGCTTAATTTGAATACGCGCGGAGAAATAAAATAAAAAAAAAACCCCGACAATTTATTTGCAACTGTCCGTCGTTTGGCGTAATTAACCGTTTATTAAAAACCCATTTCCCACCCATTTTTATTATGTTTTCTAATTTTTTTTTTTCGCTGTATTTAGAGATTTCAATTTCCTTATGACACCTGCTTTTGACGTTTGATTGTTTTTATTTAAGTTAATGCTTTTAGCACGACCGCAAATTGATGATGTTGTAACTTGGAACGACAACGACGACTTCATGTACTACTTAAAGTACTTAAAGCATAAATTACCCATATTAAAGCGACGCGTATTACTTGTTCCATTTAGATCAAATCTATACTAACGTTGGTACCCTGATATATCTAACCAACATAAATTACGGTCAATATTGAAAAAAAATTTCTTGAAAATATTAAATTTATTTTTTTTTTTACTTCTTAAAATCAGTTGGTATTACTTAATTTTGACCATTTAATTGAAACGTCAACTTAATACAACATAACCTATATTTGTTTAAGATGCGAAATTGAAAGAAAATTAATTTAACAAAAATAATATAATTTTTCCTTTTTGGGTGTGGTCAAACAGTGTTTTAGTTTGGTACTAATGGTAAAATCGCTGGCGGCTGTAATTAGCTGGAACGGAAAATCCAAAGAAGGCTAATGTGTAAATAATTGCTTTGGGGGTTCTTTCTACCAGAACCGACGCCATCTCGCAGAGACGGGTCTCGCTCGATTTGCGTAACAAATTTGCATAATAGATTGACGGATCGCATGTTTCTACAAGTTTCTCTATATCTCGTTAAAAGCAAAAGGAAATTAAATATAATCAGCACATACATTTATTTAATTTACTTAAATATTTTAAAAAATTAATTTTCATTTTTAGGTCAAAAGTAAATTAGAAGAAAAGATTTTTGGGTTAGTTGAACTGTTTAAACGAAGTGCATAACTATTTAGTTCAAGGATGGCTTAATACAGCAATTTTAATGAAAATACCTGCTGCTTTTTAATGATAACAATAAAAATTAAACATTTAATAAGCACTCAATAAAACAACATAGGGTAGTAATTATAACTAAAATATGTACCGGGACCTCGCAATATATGAATGCAGTATGCAAAATGTTTCTGGTTCTAGGTGTAGAGTTAGTTCTACTTTTCGTTCAATAAAAATAAGCGACAATCTAACGCTACATAACAACTAGAACTAACACTAGCATTAGAACTAACACTAGACCGAGAACTAGAAACATTCGGATTTAGATGCGAATGGATTTGCGTTCTTCGTATTGATCCGTTATACCGAGGTTTTACCGTAATGTCAAATTATATTGACATGTTGCATTTTGTGTGGGGCAAAGTAAGTAGGTACGCCCTGTATATTGCATCTTAAGTGAAATTCACTGTATATAAAAGGAATAATTCCTTCCCATAATAATTATTATTATTTTTTTAATAAAGATAAGTAGGATACATTGCTAAATAAATAAAACTTAATTACAATTGACACAAATTTTGCTCGATTACAATTTCTCAACAATATTTTAAAAAATATATCATTTTTATTCTAATCTAGAAAAGTTATTGTTAACTGCCATACATAGTATTTGAATGTCAGTTAATGACATTCTACCATTTTTTATGAAATATCTTTATAAATATTAACTTGATAAACGTTTTAAACTCAATTATTTCTTTCTTCCCGTTACAACAACAAGGAAAAAGGTGCATTTTTATACATTTTTCTAATGTAAATATAGAAAGTACCCCTATCTTTTATAATTGAGACATTTTATGTTATAATAGATTATTTTATAGTTTAGAAATTATGAATTCAAGTAAACCGTAACGTTTGTAAGCAGCGGCAAATCTTTGGTAACGAAATACAATAATATTAATAAAGAAATCTGTTTTACTCTAAACATTATAGAAGTTTTAAACCATGTTTTTCAGGTTTAGATGTTGTCATAACGTAAGGTATTTCATAAAAATATGTGGCGATAAAAACCTGAATTGTTACTCTTGTTGCTTACATAGATGCAGATTCTACAAAATCAAATCATTAAGTACGTTGATGTGATAAAAGTTTTAGGCGCTTTCAGATTCATCCATATCATAAAAGAATTCAAAATGCAGGCGCACAATGTATTGTTCAAAAACGGACTTTGTAGTCCGGGCGACCTCGAAATCCTTCATGGCAACAAGAAGAGCCATAATTGTACGATGTTGAGAATAATCCTACCATCAGTACACTTTTTGCGATTCAACATATGCGGCATATTATCAATGACAGTTTGTTAATGATGTCCGAATAATCGGAGATATTCTCAAATTACATATGGTTTAGCAACAACTGATGAAATAAAATGAAATCAGAAGATTTTTTGACGAATGAGTGGATACTTAAGAAAATGGATGGATGTTGCAATAGTTGACAAAATTATGGTATTTTAGGCGTGAAGAGTTGTTAAACCACCTGTTAGTTGTCCTTAATGTATTCACTAACCATTTCATTGCTTTAGTGTAAAAATGATTGAAACAATTAAATACGGAACTCTTCACATAATCATAACCTGCTCATTAATGCCATTTAATAGTCTTTGCCCATGATATTAATGGATAAAATCGAATGGGTTTCTGAAAAGTTTCTGGTGGTTGTTGGCAGCATCGATATCTGGTACAATTTTTAAAAAAATTGCATAAATAATGCTTTGTCAACATCATTGTCGATTGTAGAAAGAAGTTAAAAGTGTCAAAAATCTGTCAAGTCTTCGCATTTCGTATTTGATGATGAAACAACAGAGATAATAACATTTTCTTATAACACAGAGAGTGGTGTTGATATAGTCATCTTAAAACTTCGCTCATACAACTACTAAATTATCAAGATTTCTAGATCTAGAACAACTCCTCTCAAAACGTCTTCTTCTAGTGTTCGAAAAAATATAAATACTTCCATGATGTTTGGAAATTATAAAGTTAGTGGTATTTTAAGGTTTGTTAAATGATGACAAAAAATGTTAATATGTGTTTGATCAATATTGAAAACTTATTTCTAAATGGTGATGGTGTTGCCAAAACTTAACTAAAAAAGTTAATTACGTTCTGCATTGCATCTAGCTCGTTCTGTGGCAAATATTGCTGATATAACTAAAAGTATACCTCAATATTTGAGCATCTCCGTCCAAGGATTGTTCACAAAAATTGAACTGTGCGATTTTACACAAAGATTTCAATTGGAAGATCAAAGTCTAATTGGTAATTGAATTTTGCAAGAAGATGAATTATCTTTTCTGCTCATTTTCACTTTTGAGGTTATATAAACAAGCAAAATTGTCATTTTTGAGGTAAAGAAAAGCAACACGTGACAATTAATACCAAAATGAGCAATAAGCCACACTAACACTAAATCTCTTATTCCTCACCTCTTATTCTTTATGATACAAAAGGAAGACATGGCCATTATTTGGTTTTCACAGGACAGCGACACTACCCATACAGCTAAATCAAAATTTTGCACCCTATTTTCGAAAAACGCATTATCACCCGAAATGGCGGTGTTAAATAGTCGTTTAAGAGCTCCGATTTGACTCCAATACAATCTATCTTATGGGGAGCCAAGATGAACAGGTCTTGGGGCAATCATTCAAAGACGATTGAGAGTTTGAAAGCCAAATTGAAATGGCTCTTGGTGAAATAGAGGCTGAAACGATTGGAAATGTAAAATATAAGTCGCAAAATCAGTTGAATCTGTTATATAACAGAAATAATTCTATTCGTTTGGAACATGTACTAAAAATGAGGTTAAAATGTATGCAAAATCATTGTTTACAATGTATTATTGTATTATGTCACACTAATATTTTCATGTATGATTCATGCTCATTGAATACATTTTTGCAATCCTAAGTAAATAAGATAATTCGACTTTTTTGTTTAGTGATTTCACATTGTGCTGTACCAAGAAATGTTAACTTGTTCTTCATGAAATTAATAACATTAAATTTATCGAAATTAAATGTTAATTTTTGAGTGCTTCAAATCTACTCATTTTTGTGATTCTTTGATTAATATGACAAAAACTTTTTCGTCGCATAAAATCAAATTAATACCTTACTCTACAAAAACATAAAAACTCCTTTATCAAATCAATACATTTTAAATCAGTACATAAATTTAATCATAACCTAACTTTTAATTAGATTATTTATTATTTACGTCTATAAGAATAATTCTGGAGAAATATCCAATAAAAAACGTTAAATACATTAAAAAGGGTTTTTACTAAATTTTTCCGTCGGTAAAAGTAATTTGAATTAATTTTTGAAATAACTTTAAAATCTTACCTCCGGGAAACCGATGTGGAAATATCCTTCCATGTCTTGATAAAAGCCATGGATACAGTGGATAACTATCCCTTGGTGGTGTATGACTGATGGGTGTTGTAACTTGTGGAAATCCATGTTGACCGGAAGTAAGTGCAGCAGCTATGGCAGCACCTTGAAAGTGTGCTGCCAAAGCAAACGGATGACCACCGTGGTTATGTACCATTTCCGGTTGGAGAAACCCTCCATTTTTTGGTAATAAATTATGATCATAAGTTGGATTTGGCCTCACTAAAGGATGATGAGCCGCCGGGATACCGGGTACCATAATCGGTTGTCCCGGTTTCGGCGAAGAAACCGGCGATGACGATGATTTTTGTGGTGAATATAGTTTCGGCGATGACGATGATGGTGGATTTAAACGATTTTCAATCGGATCGGGACTTCCTGGCGACAAAGGTCCACCGGAACCTTCCGAAAAATGTTGAACCGGTGAATGTTGTGGGCTACACTGATTTATTCCACCACCACCAACAATTGAATCTATTGAAAAACCAATTTTTGGCTTCGAAGGTACCGCTACTATAGGTGTCGGTGCCAAAGGCATCATGATTTTCTTTTTTCCAAAATTAATTCCCCCACTTAATTATTTTAATCACACATTTTAAGTCTCACTGAGTTACAAAAAAATTTTTTTTTCAAATCACCATCACCACTACAAAATAACGTTCTTATTTATTAAATATTAGTTTTTTTAATTCGTCCGAAAAAAAAAACAAAAAAAAATACGAAACAAGTCACGAACGCGACGTATTTAACGGTTGGTAATGGGTCTTCGGCGACATGTCGTGCTACTGAACCCGTTGCTATGACTGTATTAACTCGACGAGATCCGACCGGCCGTGGAAAGAAGTAGGGGAAATACAACGATAAACGGTCGCTAAAGAGCATAGTGTCGAAGGTGGTGGGGTTAAAATCGTTCTTATTGGATAGTTTCTTAAACGAGAAGAGGCGGTCACCACATCTCTATTGGTTTAAACATTCATTGTAATCGTAAAAGATAAGCCACGCCTACAAACCACGCCTGGTGGAATAAAAAAAGTACAGGAGGGGATTGGACACACCTTAGATATATTATTCATGACATACTGTTATAATAATACTGGTATATATCACAACTATTACATTTTTATAAATTTATAAACAAAATATTATTTTGTCACTAACAATTTACGAAGACAACTTTTTTTTATATTCGTGGGATAGTTTTCGAAAGGATTTTTTTGAGTTATAGGGGGCGTGTCAGAAAGTGAATTTAATAGTTTCTCCTAATTGACGCGGTGTCGCCCCTTATTTTATTGTTCCGCTTTAACGTATTGATTAAAGAGGACCGCGGGGGGTTCGGGGACGGCCTCAAAAGGCGCGTGGGCGGAGCGTTGAAATCACGCACGCCATTGGCCGCCCTACTAAGTTTCAGCTAATGTGTCTCAATAAATACGTTCTTATCTTTAATTTTAGGTTAAAACATTTTTAATCAATCGTTCTAACAAACATAACCTAACAATACATTGTTGCTTTTAAAATTGATGAAATTTATAGCAAATAACCTGGATTATTGTGTTTGAAAAGTGCGTTGGGCAAAGGAAAAGAGAGATGCGGAGGAAATTTAATGGAAGTGTTATTTCTGCAACATACTATCCCGTATGAAAAGGTATTTACCAGCCGAGTCTTTACCATTGTGTTAATTTAGGAAAAAAAGTTCGATGAATTTTAAGTTATGGAATCTGCGTGGATATCCAATACAAAATCATACCCTTTCATTTTCTCCCGTCCAAACAGATTCAAATTGGTTCTTGGACTGTGAAGACAACGTAGTGTTCATATAATGATGGACTAAATCCAAGATTACTTAGCTTATTCAACAAGATGAAATCGTTCTGGTAATCGAATGTCTTCTGAAATCATGCACGTTTTCATGGATCAAGCATCCTTTCCCTTCGCTTGGAGTGCAGAAAGATAAATAAGATTGCACGCTTAGTGGAGAAGATTAGGAGATATTTACTTATGAATGAAGTAAATGGTACTAGATAGTATTTATAATGCGCCTTCAACCTAATAACACATGGCAACGATTTCTATGTGACTCCTAAAGTATTAAACATAAAAATCTTAACTTCAAAGCATTAGCATAGATACAGTTAGAAAAAAGTTGCATATAATAACGCATTGTAAGCGCAATAAGTGTTAAAGGTTGCAACGCAGACCTTTACCACAATCTCTGAAGTGTAAACGAGGTTGGCGATGAAAATGAATTTGAACACTATACTAATACGTTCTGGAATCTGCATGGATATTTAATAGGAATGCAAACATAAACTAACGTCTGATGATTTTCCGTTGCGTTGCGTCGTTGCCTGTTCAAGGTAACATCATATGGAAGAGTCCTATCTTTTTGCTTAACTTTAAAATTAAAGGCAAATATATGCTTACACATTAACAAGTTGATGTGGAGAGTAATTTTTGAAGCGGAAGGCGAAATAGTTGCAGAGTCAGTGTAGCAGAACAAGAACTGGTGACACAAATAATTTGATGAAGTGTAAATTAAGATGGACATAAATAACGTATTCAGGAAAAATATCAACTGCCCAAAGAAAATACTATACTGAGTCTCCACAAGCTGCTATGGATCAGTAAACATTAAATTCAACCTAACAAAAACGTGACTATAAGAATCGATTTGTGGACTCAGGGATATACAGACAATTTAATACGCATTGTGTCAATTGTTCTGATAATCTTACCTTAATGTTGCTTAGTTGCTTTTAGATTGATGAAGTTTATTTCATATGAGCTGGGTATGCTGGTTCATCCAGTTTGGTAGCCATAACAGAGGAACGAGAACAGGTTGGGTTGGGTTGGGTTGTAAACAACAGGTTATGAACAGGTTGGGTTCTAAAATGTTTTTGGTGCACTTTAACTAGAATGACTGTTATGAATAAGTTCTGCATTTGGTCCAGGAACAGGGTTTTGTCATACTGTGCATTTAGGAATTCCGTACAATGAAATGAAAGTTCCTGACAGCATTTCAATAAACGAGAATCATAGAACTGGGAGAAACGCCAAAAATCTTGTATTGCTTTCGGACTAGATTGCATGTTTCACTCTATGGTATGACCTAAAGTGGTGAACGAATCTAGTAAAATATCACGGAGGCAGGTGCATCATTAAACACTGATGTTATGGTGATTAAAGAACTGGAAGGCCAAATCATTACTGAGTCAAAAATGAACCGGTGACAGAAAAAATTTGTTAACACTTAAATTAAACTGGACAGAAATGAGTGTTCAAACGTTATTGTGGGAAATATTAAGTACAACCTAAAAAAAAGTATAACTTTTTACAAAATTCAGTCTGAATACTGATTTTTTGAAACTTATTGTTGGAGAATTTAATTTTGAGTGTATGTAGTGCAGGTAGGTTATCAGCTACTCTTAAGAAAGACTAAATAATCCAATACACACGTTAGTCCAAAAACAATAAAAAACTCTCATTAAAATAAACTCAACATGAAAAACATATGAGTAGATGAAGCGAAAGGTGGTGATTTGATAAAATAAGCAGAGAGGTGCAGTAAATGCAAAATTTTGTGTTTCTTCCTAACTATTCTTGTACTGGATTGACTTGGTACTCTAAATATGCTCATAATTGCTGATACCGTTCATGCCAAAAAGTTGTTGAGGTGATTTGGCAAAAGACTTGAAGGTCCAATATCATAATTATATCGTTTATGAACACCAAGAATAATAGTTGCTGAAGGTTAAAGTCCTGCATAACAGCTAAAGTGGAGCAGAATCCTGCAATAAAGCCTCTGTATCGCAAAACTGGTGTTGATTTAGTAGGTAAGGTTATTCAACAAGATGATAAGGAGCTAGAAATAAAAATCTTGGCTATGTCAAAGCATTCAAAGCTCCATATGTGTAAAAGGTCCTTAAATGCAACTCCGGCTCAGTCACAATCGCTCAAGTGTAGCTGAGGGCGACGAATAAGACGAATTTGAAATTTATACTATTTATACTTTAAATTGTTATAATTTAAAAGTACCAACATAAAGATATAAATAATCAAACTTAGCCAATGAGAGCGCTTAATCGACTAATTTTATAATCGCCCTGTATATAGAAATATCTTAAACTGTATTATTTATCTTAAAAACATTAAGGTTTTTTACTATTTATTAAAGATAACTAAAATTTTTTTTTTAATGGAATTTCTTAATTCGTTAAACATAGGTACCCTCTGCATAATAATTTCGATGTAATTTGCAGGCGGGTGTAAAGAAAACGAGCGACCTCTTGCGGCAATTATCGACGATCGGAGTCGGTAAATGGTCCGTGCACGAGTTAACGCACCGATGACGACCGCATATGGTCCGGTTAATTAAATTACCGATCGCAAATTGCGCGGCGCAGGTTGAGAACCTAAACATCTCGTTTCTCGAGTAGACGAAGAGAGGGCGCTGGCTTGCGTTTCACAAATCAAAGTAGGCGGAGCTTAATCCATCTACGCCCAAGAAACAAATAATTTTCGTTTTTTAGGTTATGTAGTTTGAAAAGTGAATAATTTAAAGTTACTTGGATACTAATTTAATTCCATTACTCTGTACGGTGTTTACCGCTACCAAACCACGTTATTTCGTTCCCGCGTACGAGGGAAGTAGGAGAAGAAGATGAAGTAGAGGATGAGGGGAAGAATTGTTCACCGGAGGGTAATTTATGCGTTAAGAAAACGAACGAGTCCCTCTCGCGGTAAGTAGTGTTGTTAGCGCGGCGTCGTGCGTACGCCTAACGACCCCCCCTAATAAAATATAAGCACTGTTAAAAACATAAATTTGCACCGGCGGCCGAACCGCGTATTACCCTAATTGGGGGGCCCCCTTTAAGAGACGAAACCAATTACCTTCATTTTTAGCTACCGCACCATTTAAAAACGTTTTCGTTTGTAACGAGGTTATGTTTATTTAAGGTTTTTGTATTTTCTTTTTGTTACGTCTAAAACACCTGTGGTGTAGAGGGCGATAATCTTTTTTTGTCATCTCTCACAGGTGCGCCCTCCTTCCTTGTCAGCCGGGTTTGTTTCGTAGAAAATTTGAGGCTGATTCCGTGTTAATGTGACTTTGGAGCAACGGGGGGTGCTCCTCAAGGGACGATTCTATTATCCCTGACAGCTCAAAAAAATTTATTTTTCACGCCTAAATTACGATAGTTTTTTTGTTTTGTTTCCCATCTTAATAAATCGATTAAATCACGTCAAACGTTTTATTTATAATCAATGATTCGAAATCGACGTTCGATCGGTATCGATGGTGACGCGACACTTACTACACTACAACAATAATAATAATAATATCGGGTAGGTAGTGTGCCGTGAGTTCTCGAACAATACCCCGTCTCGGTCACTCTGACGGCCGAAATCGCAATTAACGCAACAGAATAATAATCGGCCGTATCCGAACTGACAATCGAACGTCGTCCGAACAATGGCTTCCAACGGGCGGTCGATACCAGCGCCACCTCCGCCGCTTTCCGATCGTGATAAACGGAAGCATGAGCGATTGTCGATTGTCAGTGAACGCTCCGGGTGGCAAACCACCTCTAATTGAGACAACAAAAAAATAAACAAATAAAAACAAATCCTAATTATACGTTACTTAATCAATAATTGTTTTGATTAAGACTTACAGTAGACCTAGAAAATTGAGAATCTGATACGATTTACAGCAGGGCAGTGGCATAAAACATGTCGTCTCCTAGTCCTCCGCACATAGTCGACAAGGCCCAACAAGTTGAGATGTATCTTTGATCGTCAGTGCCCAGTAAAGACAACCATTA